CTGATTACATTGATCAAACCTCTGGGCTGTATGTCCCTGGTCCTATTTGCTTACCTTTTCATTGCTTGCTCAGCAGTTGTAGCCTCACTGGCCACTGGAATGGTTTAGTAAGACTTGTAGGAACTTCAGTCATGCCTTTCTTCCAGAGTTTCTTCATCCTTTCAGTCTGTGGAGCTTTAGCCTTTGATATCTAAATTCTCTTTCTCTATGGCTGCCTAGGATTTTGCCTGGCAGGCTTCTCTGCTGAATTGTCCAGTTTGGAGAGCTGAAACTGTGACTGGAGCTTCTGAAAGATCATTCTGCAAGGACAGTTGGATTTGCTTAGCATTCTGCTGTACGTGGGCTTTCCCTGGGCTCCAAGTTAAAGCTCTGCCAGTGTGACCTTAATAAATACAAACCTGTTGTTGTTTAGTCGCAAAGTTGTGCTCGACCCACATGACCCCATGGACAACATTCCTCCAGGCTCTCCTGTCCTCCACCATCCCTCGGAATCCACCCAAGCTCTCACCCACTGCCTTGGTAACTCCATCCAGCCACCTCATCCTCTGCCGTCCCCTTCTCCTTTTGCCGTCAATCGTTCCCAGCATCAGGGTCTTCTCCAGTGAGTTGTTCCTTCTCATTAGGTGTCCAAATAGAAACCTAGGTTTCATTTAAAATGTTTATTCCTTTTTCCTGCCAACACCCTCTTCAAGATCTCTCCTCCACCCAGCACCCAGCTGCAGCTGCACTTTAGAAAAAAAATATAGCTTCTCTGGTTATCCTCAAAGATCCCCCATTCTGGAAAAGAATAGATAAATGTGTGGCAGGTTTGCATATAACATTGGCATTACGCTGGCCAGAAAAGCCAATGGCCAACTGGGTTTCATTAAATGGGAAGTTTATGTAGCACAGTATCCTGTCTCTAACAAGAGTCAGCATATGTGAGGTACAGAAGCTGGAACAACTGTTCCCTGAAGCGAGCATGGAACTTGGCCTTTCAGGGCAAAATACTTGCATGGGGTTCTGCTCACAGGTGTTCCACCAACAGAAGGGGGAGCCAATGTGCACCAATTTCCTCTGGAGCCCCCCAAACTCTTCTACTGAAGGTTGATGGAGCCTCCAAAGCAGTGGAAGGGGGTGGGAAGAGGAGAAAATGGCCTTCTCCCATTTGACCACTAGGATCTTCCACTGGGTTTGGCCCCAGCCCTGAATGGAAGAGCTTCGTGGACAGTTGGTTAGGATCAATATCCCTGCTGGTGGACGGACCAAGGATGCAGCCCATGTAGCGTTTCCACTGCAGGGAGCAAGATGCCTTACACTGTCCTTGCACAGATCAACTTCACATCCCTTGTGTGAGAAACATTTGCAAAGACAGAAAGAAAAGCAATACACCTTCTAAAATGTCTGTTGAATTTTTGTTTATTTGTCTTTTTCATGGGAAAAAAGTTTAAATAAATAACATTTGAAAAACAGGAAATACTTTGTTTATCACCAGGGTATTTTTATTTTTTTTCCTTTTTTGTGCGTGTGTATAGGTTTTTAGTTACCATTCTGGTTTCTCAGTGTTTTCTCTGCAGGCAGCTCTTGGTGGCTGCCGACACTGTGGCGGAGGAGTCCTACTGCATACTGGGAATGTAGAGAAGAGGTACTGAGTTTGAAGAGCTCAAGGCATAAGGCTGCTTATCAACAGAGAAAGAGAGCATATACATTAGGGTCTTTCTTCTCATCCTCCATCCATGGTCACAGTGGAAGGTCAGCTGACTTCTGGATCCTCAAATGAAATATTCGGTGACCAGTGCTCCGTTACTTTGATGGTAGGCTGTTGTGGTGCATTCTCTTTCTTCAAAGGAAGGCGTTTCGGCTTTTATTGGTAAGGAAACAGAAGAAGGAACCTCTTGAAGAACGAGGGGAGACGTTTGCTACAAAGTGGTAGGACTTGCAAAAATGCCCACCCACAGAAAACCCTGCCCTGAAACACCCGACTAGAAAGCTCTGATGGAGGATGTCTCTCAACAAAGGGCACTTGAGAGTATGGCAGGCAGATGCAAGCTCCATCTCTTGACCCTCTTAGGGCAGAGCAGAGTGTCATATGGTCTAGAAACCTGGCAAGGTGTAGTTCCCCAAGTAGGAACCAGGTAGGCACATGAGGAATACAGGTGGACATCTAGGTCACATCTGCAGTCTTGGGTGGTGTGCCACAGATGTATCCCTTGCCCACAGCTCCATCTCCAGTTTTTAACACCTTCAAGGTCTGGAGTGAGTACAAATATCCTCCTAAGCCCAGCATACCTCCCTAAGGTCCTCTGTAAATACTTCTTCCAGTGGTTGGAAAAATCTTGACAAAACAACCCTTCAGTGTGGCACATTGGTATGAATAAAGGTGGTGCAAAATTGGAAAGCAGGAGACATCCGCCTGGGCAATGTTTTCTACTGGCCCTGTGTATCAGCAGGGCCATGACAGGAATTACCTCTTGATCCTTTCTTCATTCACAAGAAGAGTCCACTCACACAAGCAGCACAGTATGTGAGCAGGGAGCCGGTGGACCTCAGCCGTGGCAGCTCCCTCCAACTGTAAGGCATGTTTCAGATCCTTGGAGACCGCAGAATGTACCCCCACTGCGCGCAGGGGGCTTCTCCCTCCCATGGATGGAAACAAGAGGGAAGAGCAGGTGGGTACTGAGTACCAGCAAACCTCTTTCACACCACATTTCGACCACATGCATCACAGAGTTCACAGTCTGAGCATGGCAATAACCATGAACTCTAACCTTCCTTCGCCTGGTGCTTTCCAGATGCGTTGGGCTCTAATTCCCCCCATCTCCAGCCAGCTTGGCGACTGGTTATGATAGACACGGTAGTCCAACACATCTGGAGGGTGACGGCTTGGCGAAAGCAGATGAGATCTTTTTTTAAAAAAAATCACTGCTCAGGTGTGGCATTGTCGTTCACACAAATAGACCACCTCCACGAGTGAAGAAACAACAAAAAGCGACATGTGAACTGCCCCACCTTTCTTCCACAGGTTAATATTTCTAGTTCTGACCAACAGAAAGAAAACAATACACTTGGGGAACCTGGATTAAGTTCTCTTCAAATGCGGGTCTAAAACTGTGTTCATTTTTGAAAAAGCCCCAAAGAACATAACCCCATTATTCTATTCTATACCATACCTGTAGATGTGTCTCCTATATCTCATGTTGTACTACTTATCCAAGTATTTATACTACTGAGCCATACATCCATATGCATTTCATTCGGATGGGGAGAAGTGAAGCATTCCAGCAAAAGGATATCCAGCTATTGCTACAGCACATATAAAAAGTTGATCCATTTTGAAAACCACTGACATTATGTGGTTGGATTTTCAGATTATGAGTATGAGGATTATTATTGATAATATTGTTAAGTCCAGAAAATTTAGCAAAACAAGGGTGTCATGTTCCCCGTGAAAAATGTTCTTAGATGCTATACATTTCTTGGTAATGTGACATTTTGCCTATAAGTGTCCCTATAAATATTCTCGGGTGGATGATCAATGAGTCTTTGTTGATTTCCAGTTGGGTTTGTTCTGGTTTTTTGTGTTGTTTTTAAGTTATTTTATCAAAATGCTTAAAGCTCTGCAAAAAAATCATGGGGAGTTTCGGAGTCCGACATTACTGTTGCAATGACTCAGTCATTTGTAGTAAGAGAAAACAGGTCAGCACAATCACCCTGATCCAATGAAGGTACTCGTAATCCGTGGTAGGACAGGTTTCTGGCGCAGGTGGAGAAAAGGCTGCTGCCAGGGGCTCATGGAGGCCCCCACAAATTGGTTGGTGTACAAGGCAGCACCTGACTGTAGGCACAGCTCCCCATCTGCAGAGCCTTCTGCTGCTCCTGCCGTTCCCTGGATCAAGGGAATTCGCGAACGTTTTCTTCATATTCTTCAAGAGTCAATGTGGGTATGATTTTGTTTCTACATTGCTTTAGTAAATTAAGGTTTTCCATCTCCTGGCAGGCTCAAGAAACAACTTCAACAGCAGCAAGAACTGTGAAAGAATGGCTTAAAAGTTCAAAACATTAATTCTTTCCTCTACCTTGCACTTAAATTCCAGCAAAGAATTTAAAAACAAATGCTTCTACTATGAAGAATCTTGGAGGGGAATTGGTGGTGCTGTTGATGTGTGTTCAAAGAGAATATTTAGCATTAGTGTGACAGTGTAATTTGTTTTGTCCTCTCTCATCTTGCACATTAATAACAGACTCAAAAGCCTCCAGCACTTGGTAATTACATCGAGATAGCTCTTTGGGGCTTTTGTACTCCAGGCCTTAAAATAGCCTCTCTGAAACTGCGATACTATGAACTCTTATGTAAGAGTAAGTCCCACTAAACACAGTTAGGAAACACAGAGTACAGCAGAATAATCTCCCTCCCAATTCCTTCTCTCCCTAGAACATTGCATGATGGGAACATATCCCAGCATGCAGACCGCTTGGCTTCTGATACCATACACCAGCTGTCCCCAACATGGTGCCCTCCAGATGTGCTGAACAACAATTGTTAGCATCCCCAGCTAGCATGACCCATGCTGACTGGGATTATGGGACTTGTAGTCCAGTACATATGGAAGGTGCCAGGTCGGGGGTGCTTGCCATATATTCAGAGAATGAGGGTTTTTGCAAATTCTGCATGATGGGCATTTCTAATGGGAAGCTGAGAAACAACATATTCAACCTGGCATTCACCCCAACTTTGACATCTGCCAAAGAATTCAACCATGGCTGTGACTTTGTCATGATTTTTGTTGTTCATTGCTTCAGAATGAATGTTGAGGGAGGCCTTTTATATAAGCAAGGCCCTCCCTCCCTCCCAAAGTAATTTTCTTTGTTTGCTTAATAACAGTCTTTTCAGCCATTGTGCATTCCAGCATATAGTGGACACGGTCCATCCAAAGTAGACAGAGAGGCGCTCTACCTACTCCAGCAGACCTATGTTCTTCTGAGGATATGTGGGGTGGGAGGGATTTGCTTTTTCCTTTGGGTCACACCACAGTGCTAATTGTAGATGACTCTTCTGACTTCTTCTGCTTGCTGGGCAAGGACTTGAGATACTCTAGGTGTCGTCGGGCATCTTCTTGGTTCTGCCGAACATAGTAGATCAAGTATGAGATCACCATGGCGAACCAGCCAAACATGGTGACCAGCATGGCAATGTCTGTGGTCTTTTTGTAGATGTTGCAGAAGTCTATGTCCCCAACCAGATGTAAGAAAGGCTTGCCAATGTGCTCCTTCCGTGCAGAGGCATCACACACGATACCATCAGAGGTGCCGGCAACCAGCTCGACTCTCTCAATGAGCTGTTGGAGTGTGCAGTCACAGAGCCACGGGTTGCTAGACAGGTTGGCTTTGGCTTTTACTGTGTTAAAGACATCCTTGTTGATGGACACTAGTTTGTTAGAAGACAAGTCCAAAGAATGCAGATTCTCTGACAAGCCCCGGAAGGCCCCCACTTCCACCCGACTTATGACATTGTGAGACAAATCTAGCTCCATCAGAAGGGGCAGATTCTGAAAGGCGTCATTTGGCAGGAAATAAATCTGGTTGTAATCCAGGTACAGCTTGTTGGTATCGTTGGGTATATCTTTCGGGATAACTGTGAGCTGAGCTTTGCTGCAACGGAAGGTCCTGAAGCCATCTTCAGTGGAGGGGTAGCAGCCCTTGGGAAAGGTGGTGGCTGAGTGGAAGCAAAAGGTCATCAGAACAAAACTCTGGAGGAGCAACCACATGGCAACGGAGTGGTAGATGAACCAGTCCAGAAGAGGCATGTCGGGACATCTGGATAACTGTGCATCCGCTCCGTCATCAGTTGCCTCTTTGGAAGACTGTGGCTTGGGGAGCGCTACCTGTGGGAAACACAGCAAGGGATACCACAAGGCCTGAAAGAATGTTTTGCCATCAGAAGAGAATCCCTCCCACCCCAGTGTTGCCATTGTGTACGGCCTGAATGTGAATATGCACTAGTCTTCCAGCAGAAGTGGGGAACCAGCTGTTGCTGGATGCTGGGTGTTGTGGTTCAGCAGTATCCAGAGGGTTACAGGTTTCCTAGGTGACAGCTAGTGTGCTGCCCAAGATATTGTTTCCCTAAGCGACAGCACTACTTGGCTCTGCAGCTGGGCCTGCCTGCCATGTGGGGGAAGCCTTGAAGGACACGAATTCCATAAGGCACACAGCGTCTGGAGTGAAATGTCCTGTTAAGATGATAGGCCTGTCAGTTGAAGTATGGGGGTGCTGGCCATGCTGTAACCACTTCTTGTTTCCAATAACCACCTTTATATGCTACCCCTGAGCGTTGTTGCCATGACGTCTGAACAGGAGCAACTTAGGGTTGTTTGTGGGTTAAACAATCCCATGTTAACCCACCGGTTCTGCTTGCTTGTGGGTTGAAGAAACTTGGGCTGTCCCCAGTGCAGGGAAGGTTTCCTGGTTCCACTGTCATAGCAGACACAGTGGACCAGCAGCCCAGTCTTCTGGGGAAGTTGGGGCAGAGGGGGAGGTTTGCACATCTCCCTCCCCAATTCATTAAAAAATGGGAATCCTCTTGGCACTCAGACTGTACTTCAATAATAAGGGGGGAATCATAGGCTAATAATGCTGGCAAATAGACCAGGCTTGTGAGCTGGGAAGAAGCAGCTCAGTTACTTTTCCTTTTGCTCCACTCACCGACCTGAGCATTGTCACAACAGTCAAAAATCACAAGCACAGACACAGATGCTGGGGCATCTCTGTGCTACAGACTGGCTTAGTAGTCATTCTGGGTCCCTAAGATGCCCCAAGACTGCAATTCTGGGAAGGTCATGAAGAATCTATATTTCTCAGCATCATCACTACACTACATTTCCCAGGATTCTCTGGGGGAAGCCATGACAGCCAGCATAAAACCAATGCAGATGCTGGGTGACTATGAAATTGCTTGCTTGCTAATACTCAGGGATGATCAATTGATGTTTCCATTGTGGGACTAATGACTGGAGATGCTCCACTAAATGGGGAAGCTCTTTGCACGACATAGGATGTGACTAATGCACTTCAAAAGCCACATTCAAGAGAAAAAGTGGTAGGTGTCATTTGAACTTGGGCAGATAGATGATACTGACAGTCACTGCCTGGAACTGGCTAAAGTTGAGACATTCTTGGGGGGCCATTGTTTTCTTTAGGAACCTGATATAGGATCAGTACATGCACTTCTCACTGTATGAGTTCATTCATTTGCCACCGTTTTTATATATGTAAAAGACGTATATTAAAAGAGATACTGTAAGTCTCCTGTGTGCCAAAGAATCTAAAAAAAGCCTTGCTACTTTATATTTCCCAACAGGGGCAATCTACCTTAGTGTTTTATCACAGTGCCACCCTGGCACAACACACAAGGAACTCCCCAGCCCATTGATCTGATGCTATTTCTGCCAGAATAGTAAGCTTTTTCCAACACCATTTTTTTCTGGGGGCGGGGTGGGAATGGGGATTGCTGTTTCTGTGTGCTATCAGGTCATGTGTGTTTCAATCTAGCAATATCATAACACTTACCCACTGAGTGGCTTTAAAGCTGCAGAACTTTTCTGATGACACTTTCCCCCACCTTCCCCCCCACTCCACCTTCATCCCATCCCCTCCTCTTTTCTCATGTGGATTTTGATTCTAGGGCCCCCTGCTGCCGCCTGAAGCAATGATGGAGAACAGAGCTTGCCGGCATCTGCTTTGTGTACCACAAGGAGCACAAGGGGCAAAAAGCAACAGTGGGAATGAGTACAGTACATGACCAGCAAAGGAATGGAACCCTCCACCCAGCAGAAGTGGGGCCTTCAAAGGAATATAAAGGAAGACTGGATCCCACTTGTTCTGCAGTTCGGTCTGTGAACGTGGCCAGAGTGCCTTCTAGTCCAGTTTGGTGCGATGCCTTTCAGTAATTGTGGGCAAAGGTGCTTGGAGGGATGCAGCCTACCGGAAGTCTGTTCAACCCTTTGTCCTTTGTAGCTCATAAAATCTAGCAGATGGAGTTTGATCGCCTGGGTGGAGGAGGTAATCAATGCCTGTTTATGAGATGTGGTGGTCCCAGCTGCCTCTAAAAAGGCAGCTGGGAGGCTGTTCCCAGATAAATCATTCTTGGACTCCAGAGATTGTAAGAACTATCAGCGAGTCATGAAAATCCCCGTATTCTGTGAACTGTTAGAGCGGGTGGCAGCAGCTGTGGGCACACCAAGCACTGCTGGACAGGTCTGTCTGAACCCATCCCAGCTCAGGTTCAGACCTTTGGCCCTCTCATGAACAACCTGCGTTGGGAAAAGGACAGGGCAGTGCAACTCTGCCACTTCTCCTGGGCAGCTCGGTGGCTTTTGATAGCACGGCATGTTCTGGAGCCTGGTGTGATGGTGTCTGGGCTCTGACCCATCAGGCCATTTGTAGAAGATACGGGGTTGTGTTTGGCCCATGGCAAGTGCACCACACGGTCCCAAGGTTCCATCTCCCCCACACCACATGCCTTTAAAATATCTGTACAAACTTTTAAGGAAGGCAGCCCGGGAATAGGATGAGTTATCTGTGTGCAGATCGTGCTTAAAGGGGGTTGTTCACAAGTGAGAGATGAACCAGTGAGAGAACTGAGCTGCTGCCTGGAAGTAATAATGGCCCAGGTGAAATCCAGCCAGTAAGATGATACGCAGTCCTGAAAAGGTCCTGTGGGTTGTGGCTTTTTCTTCAGGAGGTGGTCCTCAGCCTGTTCGAGGTGGCATCCCACTCTCCCAAGAGAGGGACATTCCCCATTTGGGGCTGTTCGAAATCTAGCTTTGTCACTAGAGACCCGAGGGACCTTAGTAATGAGGAGTCTAGTGTGTAACTTTCTCTGGACAGGGATATCCTAGTGACTGTTATTCATGCCCTGCTGACCTATGAACAACAAACTGCCTATTTGAACCTCTCAAGAAGCTGCAATTAGCACAGAATATAGCTAGAAGGTTACCAATTAAAACTAATCCCACATCCACCTGCCCATCAAGGCCAACTTCAAAGCACTCCTCCGAGAATGCCTACCCTCAGAAGCAAAGGCAGGGCAACCGAAGGGACAGCTTCCTTGGTTGTGCAATTTCCTCCCTCACTGGCACCCGCGCTGCTATCTTTCCGCCCGCCCCACAAACCCAGCAGCATGAGTTGCGTTTCCTGCCTCTCCAGCCCCCCACCAGTTTTCCTTTTGTTTTGCCAGCTGATGGCAAGAAACGCAGTTGCTCTTCTCAACTCACTAGTAAAATGTTCTGCTTTCACAGCAAGCTGGTTAAGGCCACAGTCCTGCAGCACACCATTTTAAAGTGTTGTCTCCTTTCTTACCTCCGAGCTGAAGCAATCGGACACCACCTTTGACAGGGATACCGACAGTGAGGGTACAGGAGTAGCAAAGAGGCCCTTCTTTGTCACCCCTGTACTCTCATTGCTGGCGTTCTCCCCCAAAGGCTGTGTCTGTTTACCCTGCTGCAAGCTGGATCGAACATTAGACAGAAACCCCATTACTAGAATGAGGTGGAGCTGCTCCCTCATCAGGCCAGATGCTCCAGGGCTTCCTTGCCCTGGAGTAACCCAAAGGAAGGAAGAGGAGGAGCAGCCAAAGTGGCTTCCGCCTTTAAGGGAATTACTTGGGGAACTCCCCAAGCCAGGGGGCCCCGGACCTGGCACCGACATTTTTGGTCTCCCAGTGCTTTTAAAAAATTGTAACGGCTGCTTGCAGCATTATTTTATGATTGCAATAATTTTAAAACATTATACTATTTAGCTTTTTCTATATTGTATAAGTACTGACTTTTTATGCATCTTTGTAAAGTCTTCTGGAAATGTTCTTGAAAGTACAGTAATCCGGCAAGCAAGCAAGCACCTGCTAAAGAACTCTTCAGTGGCACAGCATGGCTTCCACCAAGGTTACAGACTTTTGGCATGCTAGTACTCCCAAAATATGTGCACCAGACCAATAGGACTTCCAGCCACATGGAACACACAAGGTTGTTGTTTTTCATGCCCAGTGTCCTATTCAAACTGAGCCTGAGAACCTGGGGAGTTCTCAACAGTTTTTTTTTTTTTTCTTTTTAAAGAACAAGAATACAGAGATCTCTATCTCAAAGGAAGTTCAACCAGCAATGTATTGGTTTGAAATGCAAGCCTCTTGCAAGATCACAAGTACTAAATTCCATACCAGAGTGTCAAATTCCACCACTTAGCAGATGACAAACCCTGTCTTGGTTGTGGATGAAAGAGAAACAGCAGCTCAAATGACCAAGAACTGAGAAAGTGACACCAGTTAGCAACTGGTAGCTGCTGACGTTCTGAAGCAGAGACTTCTAAAAACCTGTAATTGCCTCCGTGTCCTGCTTAGAAAACTGTTCCTGACTGGCCTCCAGAAAACATACTGCCAGCAACCTATTAAGGTTGCCTAAGCTTAACTTCTGTTCTGTGAATATAATTACAACATAAAGGAAGTGTGGTCAGGCCTGCGGCGCAGCAAGTGCCAGGCACCTTGCAGGACTTCTGAGGTCCTTCTGTTGCAGAGCAGCCTCTTATGCCGCCCAAACCGATCCTGAAAACTTGGAGGTGCTCCCATTATCCCACTATTTATAGAGTAAGGGAGAGCATGCAGCCGGACACCTGCACATGTCTTGAACTGTCATGATCCTGGGAGTTTGGAGCAACAACATTTAATGGGCCTAAACAACTGATTAGAACTGCTCTGGCCAGATGTGTCATTCTCTGGAGGGAAATATAGGGGATACAGGTGATGGGAATCCTTGAGAAT